TCGCAGTTTTCCGGCGCACGATTACATTTATTATTATTTTTATTATCCGGCGCACGATTATTATTTCTCGGTGATAAAGTAAAAACAATCAAGAGTGCAAGAAACAATACTTTCGGTCATGATACAGGAGTCCAGTTTAACCTGACAAATCAAAATAACTCGAAAAATATGCATCATAGAAACAATTGTCCCAGACAAAAAAATTAATATATCCAAGGGAAACATCTTCCTGACCTAAAATCAAACCTCGTCCCCGCTCCTTGGGATTGGGCCCGCGGGGTACATTGAAATCTTAAATAGGAACCCTCATTCTTCATTGAATATTCAAATTGTACACAAAAAATACTTAAGTTTTGTCTAAAATATTTTTTGTGATTCCTGATATAAGGTGCCGTAATCCCAAAAGTAAGATTTTGCCATCATCGAGAAATTACACTTACGATTGAAAAATAAAGAAGCCCCTTCTTAATAATTTTTATAAAACCTATTTAATGATAACAGGTAAGCCAACCCCCCACCCCGAAGAGTTGGGGTTGGGGATAACTTTAAAATTTCAATGGGAACCTCATTTTGTTTATTAAAGAATTATATTTAACTTGTAGGATTTTTCAATCGTAATAAGTTAGCGTTGAAATTTTTTCAACAACCTACTTTTAGCATCACCTAGGACTGACACTGTGGACGTAGTAGTTTTCCGTTCCTTTAGGAGTGCGAGTCTCCTCGCATCTGACCATCGGGGTGCGAAATTTTTAACAAATATTACCAACTACTCACGAGTTTAAAGGAATCCTCGCTCGTATTGTAATATCACACTCTTGTATCTATACCCATCATTACATCGTTTTATAATGTACTATTTTTGCACAGTGACGTGACCGTACAAAAGTCGTTTGCAAGGTGAAAACAAAAAAAAACTTGCAAGCAAACTCTTTAAAAGAAAATGACAGTAGGAATATCCCCATTCTGTCGAACAATTACTGGGTTAATGACCGGTGAAGGATTAAAGTAAATTATTGTCTCTCCAACTTTTCTGAAACTTCCTATTGTTGAATGCTCATCATTATTTTGAAAGTATTTTAAGGGATTCCTGAAGACCCTATCCCTTGTATGCTAATTTGACAGATTTTACTTTTACTTTTCTCAGAAACTTATTTATAGTAACTGGGGAGGCTTTGAATTTGGCTTAAATGCTGGGAGAGCTTTGAAGAATGGGCCGAATATCCGCAAATACGTTATTCTGAGTTTTTGTCAAAAGGGAAGATTTTGAAAACAAGTATTAAGACTGTTAGAACACCTTGGCGATAGAAGCTGCTTTTTCCATTAAATATTGAAGAAAATATCCAGTATCTGGGCGTGATGATATGTTTTCTGGTTTTATCTCGTTATTCATGCGTGTATGAAGCTGAAAAATGCTGGTTCACGGTGAATACAGAACCATGGAACTTCAAAGTCGTGACACTGACTTCACTTTTTCTTTTTTTACGTCTACTTAGAGGCAGCATATCTTCAAGCCCTTTCGGGGACGTTGAGAGCTTTGCTCTTGGAGTAATCCTCCACTAATTTAGGAGTAATCGTCCATCGCGTATTAGGAGCTCAATTACTGGTAACGTCACGTCAGTTGTCAAGAGGACCACCCGGTAGCAACTCTGCGTACGCGCCTCCTACGTCACCACCCAGCGTCCAGAATTGGGAAGGAATAAGGATAGTGGTAAGGTTTAGGGCGCCCAGAGGTTGGTGTAGCCCCTGTGAAGCAGGCAAACTCTTTTTGACGTAACAAATTTCACATGTTCTCCGGGGTTTCTACGGGAATCGAACCCGGAACTTCAGTGGTGAAAAGGAAGGAGACTTCGCTGAGCCCTGAGATCACTACTTTCAAATTTCAGTGCAGTCGACAGGCGCGTATTGCTCGTTTTTTATGCGCGCGGCGAACCGCTATTCAAACTACTCAGCTGCTGCTTTTCGAACAATGTGAGACCTCAGCGCCGTAATGGAAAGCAGCCAGTTTTTCGAATTTCGGCAATGGGAGACCTTGCGCGCGTTCGCGTGCAGCGTCTGGAAGGTGGTGCGCGTTCGAAAGGAGACTCTTCGGACTTTTTTTTGTAATCTCAAGCGCTCGACGATTGAAATGTACGCCCTTTGCTGTTAATTCATCTCGAAGAATTGTTATAATCGTTTATATAAACTTAGGTGCCAAAATTTAATAAATGTGGCCGCCTATGTAAACGGTAACTAATTTTTTAAAATTGAGGTGAAACGTTAGGCCTATGTTCACATTTTAACCCGGGGTAGGGGTGTCAAAAATAATTGTAATTTTGTTTAGAAAGCAAATTATGAATTATACTTGTTTGCACTTTCCTATTTTCAAATCATTACCTGCACAAGTTATCTAAATCTAAGCTAAATCACCGAGTAAAACTGTAGAGAAGTGAACATTTGAAGATCTAGAAACATTTTCTTCAATTCTAACCAGTCCTATTCTTGGCTTGACTGTCCGATACGGGCATTGCCGATGTGGTGACCTAAACCTCTCTCGGTCTTGGGATAAGTGTTTGTGTGGCTATCACGGAAACATCCATTCACCATATACACTGGTCTTCTTAACTTTAGGATGGGCTTTTGCATAGTCACACAGCAATAGGTACTGGGAAATTCGTAAGGAAAGCGCATAGTTATAATTTGCGTCGACCAGGAATCGAATCCGGGGTTGCGCCCTGGAAAGCGAGCACGCTAACCAACGAGCCACACGGGAGGCATCAGGGTCTTCTTAATTTCTAATTTTCAGTCTTCGTTCTTATTCTTTTCCTTGCCATCACTTCTATTTATTTCGGGTATTTCTTTGAAGCTCTCAATCGCTCTATCAAGCTTGTACAAAGCTCGAACAGTATGCCACCCCACATTAATTATCTCATATTTGTGGGCTTTACTAAAGTTTCCATCGTTGAATACTAACACAGCATCAAAATGAAGTGTGTTAATGAATGCAAAAATATTTTGTGGTATTCTTGACAAGATTAGGCGTCTGGAATTCTATCGCGTAGGTCAAAGTAAACGAAACACATTGTACATTGACATCACGGCTATCATTAGCCGGAGATCTCCGAAGATGGCCAAGCCCCATCATTTGATGAGTAATTTTGAACACTATAAGCTGCAAAGATACTTGAATTATGCATCAAGTTAAAAAGATGATTTCAGACATTGGTATTCAACCAAAAACGAAAATCGAAAATAACACGATTTTTTGTCCTTCTCATGCCCCTTAATACACAGGAAGACGGGAGTAATATTTATTGTATTGTAAAACTTTTCGAAAACGTTCGGTATTCTTGGAGATGGGTTATCCAGTGCTGTTTTCTTGCGGATGAGACTTCAGTTAATATGACGACAATGTTGAGGATAGATGCAGCGACCCGTGGCAGTGGGCTTCCAACTATCTTCGCTCGCATAGCAGCTGTTCCAGATACAGCGTGCTGATATAGCTGTTAACACGGATGTACTAGTAACTGGTGGCACTTCCCCATATAACGATCGATGATGTAATACGTAGTTCAAAAGATATATATATTTTTTTTATGTGCTACCCCAAAACTAAGCATTCAACAGTAGGACTTAACTGCAATGATTTCCTAACATTAAAAAAAATCAAACATCTTTTCAAAAAATTAATCGAACTGCTTGAATCTGTGTTCAATTCTACACATGTTTCAAGATGTCTGGAGTATTTGTATTCAGGAATTTTACTATTTGGTGTATACATTACAGCCTTGAACGTAACAGTATTCCAAGAATTTTACAGATTTCTCGCGTTCAGAAACAAAATGTTATGCAATTTTTTTAACTGTATCCTTTTACTACCGGTGCGTTTTTGTTGCATTAAGTCTTGTTGTGAAAAGTTATCTGGTTTCTGGGTCTTCTTTATTTCACACACTTGGCTGTACAAACCTGTGTACTTCATAAGAACGACAAGGTACATTGTTTTCCGAATTTTTTAAAGAATAATTTTATATATTTTTAGGTAAATTTAATTTCTCTAAAATACCCTAGGCCGGTCATCATACAGATGCACGTTTCGAAATTGACTTCCTTTTAATTACATAATTGAATGGGAAAAATCCTTACCGGCATGTTTTACCGTGGAAATTACCACCTCGCCGAAGGGGTGCTCTCAAATCACACGTCGGGTTGGCTCTCACCGCTTTACAATGACAATGGGAAGTATGGGCATTTCAGCTTCACTAAAAACTCCTTTCCTACACCCAGGAGTGATTGAAACCTGGAGAATTAGATTAAATGCGATTCGAAAATGCATTCTCACACCAATCTAAACAAGGCATTAACTCGGCCGAAGCTTAAAATACTTAGGGGATGTTAAAATAGACCGGGCATTTGGATTTAAATTTTAGCGCGGCCACTCGTATTAAATCTTAAATGTTTCGCCTCGCCTCTATAGAAGGCCATCCTCTCTAGAAGGCTCATCCTATTGTTTTGGTTTACAGATACTAAAATTACAATGTTTTCAAATTACTAAAATGCTACAATATTATTTAGAATGGTGTGAAAATGTGTAGCCTACGTGGTTATGTCAGTTTTCTTTTATATTTGTATGCATTTTTAGCATACTAAAGAAGGGCCATAGTTTGTATTTTACCGATGGCTCGTTTACATATTTCTACACTCTTAGAGGCGACTTTGGCACAAAACATCAAAGGTAACTTCTTAAATGTTATCAGAAATATTACAAACGGGTTGTTATTAGTTGTGGCTATCAGAATATTATAGCAGGTGTCCTTACAGAAATTTCTCGTGAAAAATTTGAGCAATTTTTGAGAAAATACATTTTCTGTATTTTTGGAAATGCCGTTATTGTTTAACTATCCCCATAATTGTTTAAATTTAGAGAAACTTCATGGTGGAGATCATTAAAAGGTTTTGATTTTCTTAAAACATTGTTTACATGTCTCTAAGTAAATTCATGTTCCGTATGAATTTCTTTATTGCAGAGTTCAGAGGTAGCCATTCCACTATCAGAAGATATTTTGCGGGGAAAGTGGAATGAGGCAACATTCCGTTCTGCCTTAAATGATTCGAAGGTGTTTACACCTCATCGAGGCATTATCCTCCAGTCACATACTCCTCGACGACTTAAGCAGGAGATTTCACAAGAGAATCTGACATGTGGTATGTACTATATTTATTCACGATTTAGACAAAACTGGCATTAATGCGAAAATCCGTGACATGCATTAGGCTGTAAATTTTATTGATTGAAGACAGTACCTCTCAATCTGCACGTATCTAGTGCATCAGGAGGTTCATAATGTTACTTCCGGTTCCTTCTCAAAATCTATTTCATAGTTGTAATGTAACAGCATACTCTGCTTCCAACAATGTCAGTCTTAATGGGTAGGTTTACCCGTATTACCAGTGAAAATAATATTTATGTAGTATTCTTGAAAAGATGTAATGGTGGTTGAAAATACATTAAGAAAACAATCTGCGTCTAAAGATCACAGAAAGAGACCCGAGCGACATCTGACCCGCAGTGCAATTGTCAGCAAATCGTTTCAGAGCAGGGAGGCGTCACGTCACAGAGGGCGAAAATTGAACACGTTGTGTCAACACTGGTATCTTCGGGCAACGAAAGAAACGCCGAAGTCGCGTCACACATGATAGAGGCAGATGTGCCCAAAGAACCCTAGGGGCCATTTAAATATGTTTAAAATGAAAAACTAGTGCCGTACAGAACGGCACAGACTTTCCCGTATTAGTTTTCTATTTCCTTTCGTCTTGGCTAGCTATTCGGACTTGCCACATACTCGTGCCAGCTGCCATTTATCGCTGACCGAAGTAAATTTTATTGAAATTTTCTTAACTTTTTGGTTTCCTAATATTAGAAAGGGAATATTATTTTAAGAATATTAAAAAACAGTAAAACGTTGTCCTAAATGGCGATTTTCTTTGAACAATTTGGTGCCTCTTTTAAGAAAATAATGTTTAAGCGTTAATATGAATATGAGTATTGAAGTTCATTTTCAGTTTTTTTTATTTGAAAAACAATCTGAAGTCATTTGAAGCACTTTAACTCGCAATTACAATATTGTTTACAAATTGTTGGAAATTTGCGTATTAACGGCGTGAGAGATCTTTCAAAAAAATTATATTTGTGTATTATTGAAAAACAACGTAAAAATATCCCAAAATGAACCATTGTCATATTAGAGGGTGGAATTAGCACTATCCGTTCGAAACGTTTGAAGAAAAAATTTGGGGCAGTTTTTGAGAATATCTGGTTTTTGTTATGTTTACTTTCTCGCGCTTAAGGAAGACTTCCGAAAAAAGAGAAAGTTTCGTAATGCTGCGCGAATTTTCCGCAGAAAAACGCTTATTTCAGGGCCCTCATGACGAAAAAGTGGATAAATCCATTTGCTAAATTTACGCGGGGGGAAGGATCCTCTAACATGTAATGTAGCCAGAATCCATGTTTTGTGGGCTCTTATACCGAAAAGTCTATTTTGGCCATAGTCTCTCTACCCTTCCATCCGTCTGTGAACAATAGTGGCTAAACTATTCAGCCGATTTTCTCCACAAATTGATATTTCCCGATCGATGTGGCTGATGTGGGAACTTGAATTCGATATTGATATTTTAATTTCGGGGGGGGGGGGACTTTACATGATGCTCCTGGGATATTTTCAATTGTTTAAAAAAGTGCCGCCATCGATTTTGATTAAATTTTGTTGGTGGGTAGTCTCAAGGACTTTTAAGAGAATGATATAGGTCCCTTGTTGGTTGAAAACCCTGATTTTTCGAAAATAGAAAAAATAGAAAAATGTTTTCAGTGTCTTCCTACAACTACAATTATGAAGATACTTTCTTTTTCTAAGTGAAATCTGTTCATCAATAAAGAATTTTTAAATAAGGTCATCTTCAATTTTTCAAAAACATGAATGTCTTTTGCAAAATTTTGTATCTAACATGCGCAATTTTTGTTTTCCTTCAACTTTTTCTTAAAAACCGCACAACGTTGTTTCATTCAATTGGGAACTTAGCATGAAAGACGCGTAAGTGAATGGTGCAAGTCTCATGTTAATTGAAATCCGTGATTTTGCAAACTTTTTTTTTAATTTAAATTTCAGCGTCTTAATACAAAATTGTGTAGATTCAATTTTTTATGAAATGTGTTCGTAGAAAGCAGATCTTTAAATAAGGTCATGTTGGATTTATTAAAATATTGTTTTTGTGTAAATTCGCGGCAAATAAAATAGCCCACTCGAATTGACTGCGCTTGGTTTCGGGCGGGTTTTTATAAATACAATTGTGAAAATACATAGAGGTCATGATCAATGTTTTGAAAATATGAGTATTATTTGTGTAAATGGGCGATAAAATTAAATGCCCGCCGCGATTTTACTTCGCTTCGTGAACGATCCACACAGTTGGATGCTTCCTAAGTCAGAATTTGTATATCATTTAATATTGCCTTTTTTCGTTTCTACATTCTACCTTTTGTTACACATTTACACATTAATCTTTTAGAAATTATTTAACGCCTATTTGAAATACTGCTAGTTTCCAAGGAATATCAGATTGGAATCCTAAAAAGACTCGGGACCTCACTTATGTGAAATACGTCTTATTGTTGGCACATAATTTACCTGTATGAATAGCAGTTATAATTATCAAATTTGTGAAAATATTTAGGTTTTGCACAAAAGATAGTACGAATTGTAATGAGCAAGGTTGTGCAGTATTGAAAAACTGTATTAGAAATACGTTTTTTAAATACATTGATATGTTCATCCAGGCCAGTTGAATGACTTGTTTTCCTTTGCAGGTTTTATACATTCACCAAATACGGGTTTAATGTCTGATGGTTTGTTTAAAAAATCAGTCGTTTTAAAAGGATATTCCATTTATTTGTGTTAGACATTTTTGACATTTTATCAAACCATAGTTAGCCCGAAGACAGATGTTCGCACGTTTTTTTAGAGTATCGGGTCGGAAACTCACACTTCGGCTACACCTTGCTTCATTCAAAACGAGCGACAAGTTCTTCACCAGAGTTGTGCACTTCTCGCAGTGCATTAGGAGCAATGGAAATATCCTCACTCCTAGAAAATCTTACCTTTGATGTTAGCTGAAATTTGATGGATTTAATATAAATAACAACTTTGCTGGATAGAGAATGTAGAAAAAATTTTGAATTTTTGCAACTTTCGAAAAATCATAGTTTTCAACGAAAATACCTACACCATTCACATAAATGTCCTTTAACAAAATGTAAGCACCACTAGTTTAAAATAGCACAAATTGCACACAATATTGGGAATTTGGGAAAAATACTAAAATTTTCAAAAAAAATGTGCATGGTCTTAATGAAAGAACTCACTACGGACAAGAAATTTTATTTGAAGTAAAAATGTCTATCATCAATTTTGTAGTTGTAGGTAGACGCCCGAAAATTTTGCAATTTTCAGTAATTTTGACTTACCTCTGAAAATCGGACCTCTGCCACGTTTATAAGTGTGATTTACTCTGTGAGAAATTTAAAGACAAAGTTTGGAGCCATTTTTGAGACAATTTTGAAAATGCCCGGAGGGCTTCATGTAAAGTAGCCGCAAAATTTAAATAACGTTTTTAAAAATCTCAACGTCTCTATTTGAGAGAGATGACCGGGGAAATATTAATTGGAAAAAAATCTTAGACTGACAGACGTCTAGTATAGGAAAAGTATTATAGTAATACGTATTTTACATGAATTGAATTAATGCTTATTTTTACGTGGCGCCTCGGGCCACGGGCCGCTCTTCCGTTGACCCAACGGGTCAAATTTTGCTACGACGTCCTTTCACCAACTAGCAGAGGAAGGAGGTATTACTTAGGCGAGAAACAAGCGATTTTTAATTTAGCTCAGAGGCGTCATTTAGACTTGAGGATCTTTTACATGCAAGTAAAACCTACTAACATGGTACAGCCGGCTTTCCTTCCGCTCTGCGTATATACGTATGTGTACGGGAAAGTAAAAATGAGAATTATAGAACACAATATAAATTATTATACGGACCATTAAATGAGCTTATAACAATGACGAACGATGGCGAGCTAATACGATTATGATCAAAATCGGTGACAACATAGCGCACACGTCGGTTAACTGCTAATGTATACACGTGTGTGTCCCGTTTTTCAATGGAAAATGTATTTTATTTTTATCATTATCACCTTGCTCTATAACCTCGGTAATTCCGGTTCTTGTGTATCCTCGTCTACCTGCCGGCCAGCTCTTTTTTGGTCATCTGTGCATAACCCTAGCTCCCACGCCAATCTTCTTTGCGGTTGTTAAGTCACACGGTGATGCCTCCAGGGGTGTCCTAACAAACGGTAATAGCAGCAGCTACTGGATGACGTAACTTCCACTTGTTGCCACCAACTCGAGTGAACAAACAAATGAGATAATGCGCAGTTGGTTTTCGCTTTGCGGTGAAGTGTGGTGCAGTGAGCAGATAGCAAGGAGGGAAAATAACTGCCAGCCTGACCGAGGCACAGTAGTCAGGCGGGAAGAATATTTGTACGCATTTTAAACTACGTATATTTTTTCTAACTGTGATGGAAGACTATTATTTGTATTGCAAAAAAAACCGCACATACTTTCACCTAATAATGGTAACAATTACATAATATAATTTGGGAAGACTGGAGCTTCCGGGACATGCCGCCTGCCTAGTACAGTATCAACTTAAGCGAAATGCTGCAGCTAAAACTACTACAAAAGCTACAATTACTGCTAATATAAGAAATATTATTAACAACAACAATCAGTTAACTTACTCTTCAGATATCTCTGACATGGTTAGTAACCAAACAAGGCGCAAGTGTTACATAGTTACCTTTATGTTTTTCAAAATTCAAAAGTTTAAATGAAATTAGAGACCTCGCAATTAAATTAAATATATACGTATATTCACTATAGTTACGTACATGAAAAGCTGACCTGCCACGCTATAAAATGCGTATTTTAGGCTGTAAATAACTAGGGCTAAAATGGGCCTACTTTCTCGTCGGTATTTTACCGCTAATTTACTCAAATTTTCAATGCAATATTGCATGCATATGTGCAATTTTAAATATGAACAAAAACAATATTTTCTCACAAACGACTCCATTTTTTACTATAAACTTTTAGTAAGGATAGTGCTAAATTTACTCTAAGATGCCATATTACTCTATTATTTTGTGTTTTCAGAAAGTATTTTTTAAACTTTCACGTCGTTAATATTTACATTAGCGGCGTTTGTTCACGTTATTGTAATTATGAGTACATGTGCTTTAAATATCAAATACAGTTTCTCGACAATCAACATTTTCTGTGAAAACTTGCTCATAA